GAAGAGATAATGGGGAGGTGGGAAATAAACTCATATGTAGGGGCACGATGCTATCAAGCAAATGGTTCAAGGTGGAAAAGCAGCTTTGGTTATCTACTGGATTGTCTCGTGCTTTAGATGCCCCTTGCTAACTGTGGTCGTACTGGATGTCGGTTCCCCATCAAATTGGATAAAATCGTGTGCTGCGCCTGCTCCACCGCATTTCATCCACAATGCTCCGACCTTTGTCCGGAGGACTTCGTTGATAAGTCTGGTAGTGGCAACTGGTACTGTCCCACCTGCGCCGTCGAGATAACTGCCGAGGGTGACCGTGTGACTGGTGTCGTTAATGCACAGTCCACTGACATTGGTTCTCTTCCCCACTCATTCCCCATTGCTTATGTTACCAGCAATCCCAACAAACTGCGTGAGACTATCGAAATTCTTGGGGAGGAGTACGCTGGAATGGTTGGTTTGTCCCGTCTATTTGAGCGCAAAATGTTTTATTTGAAGCATCCTGTTTCTTTACCTTGAAATCGATAACATAGCTGAAGCAGGTGGATGTGGACTTGCCGGAATACCAAGGAAGCAGCCCGGAAGAGATCGTTCGTCTCAAATGCTACCATGCCGCGAAGATAGTTGGCGGACCGGTGTTGGTGGAGGACACATGCCTTGCCTTTGACGCTTTGAATGGTCTTCCTGGTCCCTACATTAAGTGGTTCCTCAGGGCCGTTGGACCTGAGGGTAAGTATCACAAGTTCAAGTGCAGTGTATTCGACCCTTATTCTCCTTTTCATTGTGCTTTGACTTAATGCGGAATTGCTTTGGATTATGAGTGAGCTAATGCTAAATTGACTGCATTAAATAAGGCCACTACCGGTGTGGGACAAATTGTTGTGAGAATTGCACTAGATTATTAGTCCAAGCCTTTAGCTAAATGAGTTTCTCAATGAGATGTTTGGTTAGGTGCGTTTTCGACCCATCCAATTGCGGAAGTTGTTTGGAATTACTAAAAAGAAACCTAAACTAAACGTGCTTTCTTGTCCAAGACAAGTGAGGATTTGTTCAACTCAAGAGCG